AAAAAAACTTGATTTTTTTATTTCATTACGAATATATCTTCAAACATTTTTCAAAAAATAAACACGAGGCACTAAATTTGACAACTAATATAGTACCTGTCAGAGAAAGTACCAGTGAAAAAAAATTTCTTTACCTCGTCTATATTTTTTAAATTTAAAAAATCCATATATTTTTTTTCTTTACATTATTTGAATCAATACATTCTTTCAGCACGGAAAGTCCAGGTAAGACAGGTAGCAACTTCTTAATGGCTCCCGGCGAGGGTAGGAGGAAACAGGAACCCTGGCGCACTGATGAGGAGACCATCGAAGACCTGCAGACCAGGCTCAACAGGCTACGAGGCTTCAATATGTAGAATAAATAACAAATAAGTATGTATTTAAGAAATCAGTTTTCTGCCTACCCCATTATTATATTTGTATGTATAATTTTTTATAGAATTGTATAAAAATTATTATCTTTGGAAATTTGGATGTTTCGATGTTTTTTTGTTAGTGAAAATTAACGTTAATTTTTTTTCGTAGAATAAAAATTAGTTTTATGACTAAACTAAATCTGAGTGTCCTGGAATATCTAAAAATAATAATTTTGCTTGTATTGACATTTGATATTATTTGACTAAATGGACTAACTTATTTGACCCGGTGGATATTATGGTAAAACACAATCATACTATTAAAAATGCGAAATTTAAGATAAATACTATATTCAAATCATCTGAAAAACTTCGATATAAATCATATGTAGAGCAATCTGTAAAAAAAAAAATTATTCCGTATAGACGAAGTCGCGGGCAAAGCTCATACCAGACAATGTAATTTAGAAGATCCTTTTGTACTATTCTAATATTATAAAACTGAAAGATTTGTATTTTTGTATGTATTGAAATAACTCAAAAACACTAATCAATATTAAAAAAAAATCACTATTAAAAAGTTACGCTATCAGTAACAGGCTATTTTTTTGTCACGCGGCCGAAGTCATAAGCAAAAATTAGTGTTATACTATTTTGTATAGCTACATAAGTTTTGCGTATTTTCTTAATTAAACTATGTTTTTCTTACATGCACCAATAGCTTAATAGTTAGGTATGGATCACGTGGTTGAGGATTCGAATCCCGCCATTCTTTTTTCTATACAAGCTTTGAGTAACGAAAATATCAAAAATAAATCTCACCGACCAAGATTAGTTGTCGCACTATGTTAAAAAATTACGAAAATATAAATAAATAAAAAAAAATCTGCTGCTATTTATAAAAAAATCAAAAAAAAACCTCACCGGGTCAAATAAGTTCGTCGCACTTTAGAAATCTAATTATGTGACAAAATATTGTATATAGTTTTAAAATATAAATAAATATCATAAAAAATATTAATATTAAATAATAAATAATTATTTTATATCGACACAAACTAAAAATAACAAAAAAGTGATTTTAATATTAATTTAATTAAGAATTAGATAGTTTTTTCTATAAATATAATTAATATCATTGTCACAATATAATATCCTAGTTTAAAACTTAAAAAAAATCTGACAAAATAAAAAAAAAATCTAACAAAATGAAAAAATGATCAAATTTAGTATTTCTAAATTCAAAAGTAATTTACTAAAAAAATACAAACTTGATAGACTGTATGCCACCCCTGACATTGTACCACGCCTATGACATTTATGACACCCCGGAAAATAATACAAATCAAATGACACCTCACACTTAAAATTCTGACAAACCATTTTTTTCATAATATAAGGTGGCGAGCGGCTTGAATCCACCGAAATGGAAAGCGATCGCTGCCCATAAACTTCCGCAATTGCAGCGCTGACATTTCCCCTTCCTATGCATCTCCACCGTCAAATCCACTTATCCTTCCCATCCTTTTCTCTTAAGATAAGGGTGGAAAGGGAAATGTGCTAAAATTAGGCCGGCACCATACTCGTCAGAGGAAACGCGGAATTGCTTCCACTTCACGCCTGTCTGTGTGGTCGTGGTATTACACCGGGGGAGCCCTTCAGTGCGAAGATGTTAAAGCGGGCTCTACCACTGTAAATATAAAGGTCATAGTTGACAATTAAATATTTCCTTGCAAAGTAATGCAAAACCTAGGATATTATATTAAGACGATAAAACGCAACAAAATATAGTTAGATATCAAAAAAATTGTACGAAAAAACAAAAAAAAACGATTACAAAATACTATATATTAACTTAACGTTTTGTAAAAATAAGAAAAAAATATCGAAAAAAAAAATATTTTTTTACGTTTCGCCGAAACAACGGCGTAAAAAGTGCCTGATTAGGTTTTAATTATTAGTAGTGTAGTAGTTGATTTAAACTTACAACACCCTTCGATTTGTGAATACGTCAGTTTATAAACTGACAGCTGTCAGATATTGACACCTAATTGTAATGGAAATATATACTTGTATATAATTTTAATTACCCCAAAACATGTGTGGCGAACCTTTAGCAACCTTACAAATAAACGCGGTATAAAGTTAAACTTAGGAATAAAATGAGTATAAGCAAAATTTGTACTAATATTATAAACAGAGTATAAGCAAAATTTGTACTAAAA